TGGTGAAGGTGATTACTTCAACCTCCCACCTGCAACACCCCACCCTCTCTTGTTTGACTGAGTGCATTAGAGAACACTTAGCTTGCTGTGAAGGTTATACCCCTCTCTTGTGACACACAACCTAGTCTTACATGAACACCCAGGTGGTGTAATCTTATAATCTTAAAACTAAATCATTCCTGCTTTTCCCATCACAACCCCAACAGGCGCATTTGTGTGGCAAATGGTGGAGAACGCAAGTGATATTGCTGCTATTTCTTTGGGGACTATCAACCAAGACCAAAATGAGGCACAAACTATCTCGGGAGGTAATTGTGTTCCTGGTAGTGGGGAGGGGGGACGGGCTTGACCTGCTTGTGTATGAAATAAAAGAGAAGACGAGAGGTACTTAAAAGGGTGTTATACGTTTGGTGCAGGGGCATTCAAAGCCTTTGATGTGGGTTTATCAGCAAACAAAATGAATACAGATCCTGGGGTGTTCAGGGAAGCGTATGTACTGTAAACGAGAGAAGACTTAAGCTAACGAGTGAATGCACACAGCCGAGAACATGCCTATCGACAGCAAAGCCGGGATTTATGTCTGCAGTGAACGATGAAAACCACAGGAACAGAGTATTTACACAAAGAGCTCTTTGGGTAACCGTGCAGTTTTGTCTGTGTGTGCAAGGGTGCATTTATCACATTGCATATGTTTATGTATATGTATATAACGGAGGGGAGCAGGGTGCAAGCGAACAGCGAGGCGTCAAAGAGAATGTGGAGTTCTTCGTTGGTAATCTCTGGAAACTATCACTGTGGCAATCAACTTGAGAGGAAGTGTCGGGGGAGACAAGGGAGTCTCATCAGGAGTATCAGAAATCAAACAGCACACTCAGATGGTGCAAAGCCTTATTGATTTTCAACCGAAGGGGAAAGCAGAAAATTCATAATCCCTAACCCCATCAAGGCATCTATTCCCAGCCATCACACCTCCCAACCCCCCGATTGTACAATAAAATTCTCCTAATACAATAAAATGCCCTGTTTGAGGCTGCTGAGCTATCGGGTCAATGTATATGAGAAAAATATTAGTATGAGAGAAATATAAATAAGGAGAAGATAGAAGAAAGATAAATGAGTCAATGAGAAAAATTGAACGGCAAAAATGGGAAAGAAAAAGATCAAATATGGGTTTGTTGTCAACAATATCGCCTCATTGAAATGCTGTCACTAGAGCTGTCAGACTGTATGCGATAATACATTACCTAAGCACAGAGGTACGGGGTAATTCCATCTTCTGACAGGACCAGGCATGCAGGTAATATATGCATTACCCTGTTCAAGAAAACAAACAAAAACTGTTTACTGTCAATTCCCTTTCAGCAAAACACTGTGAAGTTAAAAATGAAAAGGAACACGATGAGATCAAACCAGCAGGTGACCCAAGTATATTTTATCTCTGTCCTATGGATCTTTGGATTTAGTCAAAATCCCCTTCTTGTGTGTAAATATCAAGAGTAGGGCAGGATGTTCTCGCTGCTAGGTATACAATGGGAGTAAGCACCCCGAGATAAGAACAGAAAAAAACATCTGCAAACATAATTGTGTTGAATACAAAAAAGGGAATCTAAATGTGATGGTTAATATTCAGAGCTTTAATGTTGTTTTAGTTTCAAGTTTTCAAGTTTCAAGTTTCAAGTTTTATTTGTCATATGCAAGTTAGCACAGGGTCAACATTGCAATGAAATGTGTTTGATGAGCAGCAGTCACTCAGCAGCATGATACAGTACAGAAAATATAGTAAAATATAATAAAATAAAATATAAAAATATAAAAATAGTAAGGAGCTAAATATTAGAGAGACATGGTTTTTAAACATAGAAACTGGAATTTGCCTGCATGTTGGTAAAATGCATACATGCAGGGTGACTCTCCAAAAACCTGTACACTAACATCACGCCTGAAAAAACATAGCTATACTGCGCACTCACAAACTACCTACCTAAACTCAAAAGACTCATCCATACTTTTGCTTTTGTTACTACACCCGTCTCAAGTCTATTTCTGGTGTTCAGACACTCAGCCTGAAGATGTGTGTAAGAAGTTGCTGGTTAGTCCAGCGAGGATATGAAAAAGAAGAGAATGCCCGAGCTGGGAAGAAAAATCGGTGTGGGATTAGTGAGGCGACTGTTAACACAATCCATCGCCTGTGGCCTTGGAAGGTTCTACAGCTCAAAACGCCACAGCTACTGAATCTACTCAGGCAGGATTGGATGAAGTTGAAGCTGCTTTGTAACGAACACACTAGGACTCACACTTACACAAACATGCAAGCAGGGAGGCGTGCAAGCAATGTACGCACACATACACGCGCACCACTACAAATAAACCTGCAAACACACTTGCCTATTCACATACTTCTTTCCTGTACTCTTCTGCTCACACACACAAGTCATCAAAAGGACTTGATTCATCTGTTTTAAAAGATTCATCCTTTTGAGGATCCCCATGAAAATGTCACTCATTTAGGCAGGTCAATATTTTTCACTAAGACAGCTGCAGATCTGCACTTCATATGTCCACCTACCTGTAGTGAAAAGCCTTGATCACATTGGAAAGAAACCATGTCACCCACAGTGTAACGATCTCCAACTTTTCGGCCATTACTGGGAGGCAGCGGCTCTGGACACGAATCCAAACCTATTGCTTAGGACAGAGTCACAACACACAAGTGTGGACAGCGATCATTCTTCTGCATATCAAAGAAACTCCTCCATATATATTTGGAGTAAATATATACATTTAATCAACCAGTACCTATAGAGGGAAGGAATAATTTAATTAAAACCAACCTTTTTGACATAATTATAAA